GAATTGTTTTTGCTTTGACGTTGACATTATCGTCTTTTTTTCGCTTCATTTGAAATATGGACAGGTGGTTAGGGCGCTCGACTCACAATCTGAGGGTCGCGAGTTCGAATCCCCGTCACACCAAACATGCTCGCCCTTTCAGCCGTGGGGGCGTTATAAGTGACGGTCAATCCCACCATTCATTGGTAAAAGAGTAGCCCAAGAGTTGGCGGTGGGTGATGATGACTAGCTGCCTTCTCTCTAGTCTTACACTGCTAAATTGGGGCGGGCTAGAGTAGATAGCCCTCGTGTAGCTTTGCGCGAAATTCAAAAAGAAATTCATTTGAAATAATTACTAGCCTGTAATATGACATTTATATTATCAAACTGTGAGTACAATGTGTTTTGTCACGGGTTCATTTAGTTCCTGTTAAGCACAAAACTAAACAATGGGTTATCTGTATTCTGCCCACCACGGGTATCGAAGCCCAATTTTTAACGTCATAAGCCTGAAGACTTACCACTTATCCATTTGGGGAGGCTTTTTTTTTAGGGAGATGGGTTCTCCCCTGGGACCATTTGAAATTGAAGATAAGTGATGCAAAGTGATCCAAAAAGTTACGACAATATGTTTACATCAAATATAATAGTTCTGCTTTGTCAAACTTTACATAGTTTCTAGGGTACGCCATAATTTTAACATATACTTACAAAAACTATTCAGAAAATATTTATACCATACACACATACGTATAAATATACAAGGTATCACAGACCAAAAAGAAAGTTGAATAACTTTTTTATTGTCTGAGATAACAACAAAATTAAAAACAAAATATATTCTGAAGGCTTGGAAGTTTTATTTATGAATGTGTTTTATTGCAGATTTCAGAACTGACCTTGTTTTTGAGTAAAATAACAACTCTTGAAGAGTTCTCCCGATTTCATCCCTTTGGACTTTTATCTTTGGGGCTCTTTGAAAACAAAAGTCTACCATAAAACCAATTGATCTTGAGGAACCGCAACTTCGCATCCCTGATGCTGTCTTATCCATCCCTATAGCTGTGTTGGAAAAGGTGTTCTCAGAATTTGAAGGCAGAATTATATTGATTATAGCTGATGGTGGAAGACATGTACAAGTTTAT